TGGAAAAGATTTCATTTTATTTTAAATTTGAATTGAATTTATACAAAATTGAAAAAAATCAATTAACTAAAATAATTTAAACAACATTTAAATATATTTGAAGTATTTTAAGCTGTATTTTAACTAATTTAAGTTTCACTTTGAATAGTTGTGTATAGAAATCAAAAGAAATCTCTTATCTCTCAGATCTACTAGCAAAGGTATCTATACAAGTTTTTTATTATCATTAGAAAATGACAGGAACGAAGCGCAGCCGTTTTCTTACGAAATCTTCTATAGTGATGAGAGGATGTTAACGTATAACAACAATGTCTCTTCTTATTTCTGATCTATTTTTCTTGCGGTCATATATTTTGACGATTGGGTTGTTGAATTATAATTCACAAAAATTTACTATTTTCAGACACTAATTCTCAAAAATTAAAATCTAAAATAATTTTAAAATTATTCCACATAGCTATTTAAATTTATTTTAAATTAAAATTTTGGTAATAGAAAAAAATTTAATTTAATTTAATTTATATTTATATTAGCAACAGTTTTAGTTCAAAATAAACTTACAGAAAAATGCTACGCCTATCAGGAACCAAAATCGAACCGAACCTGTAAAACTCAGTTCGACACGGTCTCTGTTTCGTAAGTGCTTCCTATGTGATCAAGAATTGTCAAAGCGACTTTTTTTGCCACAAAAGTATACTCATGCTACCGATATCATAGGAATGAAGTCCTCGATAGCTTAACTTCCATTTTCGATTAGTTGTTTTCTTGGTTTTAGTCATATTCTTTTAAAATACTTCTGCCTACTTTCTTTTCACTAGTAAACGAACAAATATGAGAATATCAGTATAATAAAATACATTCGATTACAGAGATATTTAATAATCTTCAAAGAAAACTGAAAACACACGGTAAACTGATAATTTTGAATGCAATAAGTACCAACGGAAAATTTCCGAAAGAATAAATATTGAGCGCTCTTCGATGATTTTCTAGTATAGTAGATAGAAGACTAGGTAATATAACATCAGTTGTGTTCACTCCATTCTGTTTGTGTTTGGGGTGTCTTCCGATGTCACCGATCTAGAAATCAGCATTTTCCTAGCAAAAGTCTGTCTGAGTTCAAACTAAGAAATATGTCAAAAAACCCATGGAATCGCTCAGTTCTGTGGTTTTCAACGTACTTCAAACCAGTCTTTTTTAAATCTTTTTTGGTAATAGAAACCATAAATCTTTTATTGTATTTCAATCCAAAGAGATAGATTTACAGACGTTGATTTATTCCATATTTTAACATATACACTTGATCGCCTCTCTCTTTTCTTTGTATCACGTCTAAGATAATCATGTTCATCACTCGTCTGATAACGACAAGTCACAATAGTTTGTAATAGTGATCATTTTGATTTTCGAAGAGAGAACTGTCTTAGACTTTGTCGTCTTAACTAAATTTGAAAAAAGCTTTCAACCGAATTTTATGAAAAAAATCTCCTGATCGAATTCCGGTTTATGACGAAAACCTAGTGCTTTTTAAAATTCGCATGTAACAACCATGTTAAATATATACAAGAAGAATAAAATATTAATTGTATTTGTTTCTGTAAATCGCTACAGTGACCAATGTTTGCTGTACAACTTTTTCGATAATAGCAACTTTAGGTGCAACAGCTGTTGAAAAAACGAAATCATCAGTTTATTTATCTAAACGTTTTAATGGAGAAATAATTAATGCTGATTCAATGCAAATATATGAAGGTTTAGATATCACAACAGCTAAACCAACAATTGCAGAATAAGATAATATTCCTCATCATTTATTTAGTTGAATGAATCTTCTTGATCGTTCACATACTGTTGTGGATTATCGAAAGGGTGCTTTACCAATTGTGAGTTAATTATCAGAAACTAGAGAGGGAAAAGAATCGAATCATGTTTTGAGCAAGGCATCATACATAAATTATATAGTTACAATGAAAGATATAGATAAGATAGGAATTGAATAGAAAATATCAAACTAGATTGCTGATGTTTTAACTAGTTGATGATAATTTAATAGATTTGTTTCTTTTTTGCCATTAAATTTATGTCGATTTTTTTAGATGTCTAGTGTAAATTTTCTTTTGTCAAAAGTGTTTTGTGTATGTCAATTCAATTAGTTTTTAGTGCAAAGAAGAGAATTATTAGTCACTAAAATTGTATTAGTATTGATGTGATTCTAAGAGTATCAGATAAATTTTTAGTCATAAAAAAATTTAGAGTTCATATAATAGGAGATTTAAGCCGATGTATTGATTAATATTGGTGTATGAAACTTGTCAATAAAATGATATTTAATGTAATGATTACTTATATACGTTAAAATGTGAAAGTCAGAGTGGTTTAGTTGTTATATATGTGTACTTTTAAATCTTGTTCTCGTGCTATAAACTATAAAAATAATATAGCTGTCAAATGAATTATCAGAGAATGACTCCTTCGTTGCAATAGAAACTCTCGTAGCTTCTAAAATGTCCAAGTATTTGAATACTTTAGCAAGAGAGGTGACTATTAATATGCTTTGGTTGTAATTGTTACCCAAGGCAAGACTCACACATTCTTACTTACACCTTATCATGATATTACGAACAAAAGAAATATGAATTTGTTAGTCTAGATGATGTTCAAACATTTGTTTCTAGACAAAACAGCCATCAAATAGTGCATAGGAGGCATTATCTCAGACGTTGATTAAGATGATGATTTTCAGAGTCTATTTTTAATTATGAGTTTGACGTGTATGAAAACATTTTCTACATGCAGACGATGCTATTAGTGTAAGAATGAAGGTTCAGAAGCGACCTGCACTCTTACCCTCAACACATCATTTTATATTTTATTCGGACTCAATCTATTGGCCTTGCGATAATGAAAAATTATTCGACTCTTGAAAACACAATAAAAAATGCAATCAACGTAACTTTTCGCACTTCGAGTTACAAACACTCTCTGCTAATTGACTTAATTTTTGTTCACAATATGAAAGCTATAGATTTATTGTATTCTTGTTGAGTTTACATCCTAATCAAAAACTACGACATTCACGTTGAACCAACAGGATATCGAAAGACGCGCACGGCGAATTTTGCGCACTGACAGTCTGCATACGAGACAAAAAATCTAATTTTTAGTTCAGTAGACAATTTTAAAAAAGGCTAAGAATCAAAGAAATAACAACTTTTATTTTATTTTCAAAACCAACAACTGCAATATTTAAATAAATTACAAGAGAAACAATTTATTTTGATTGTCATATTGATACATACAACGATGCAAGTATTCATGTCTTATATGAAGACATTCTAATATAGAGGTGGTAATGGTAAACGTGCTCGATTGGATATCTGTGAATAGAACTGTAATACATTGATATCATTTGACTCTTGTGTATTGTTTGCAAGATCGACTAGATTTTGATGGTATATCCTTAATAGTATTCTGATTGGATCATGATTACAGTGGGTTGTATGAATACCACGACGTCTAACAGTGATAGTATGTATGATATCAGTAACAATATTACATTTAGGTGTGGGATAATAAAAATGAATGTTTGTCTGGTTTTCACGACGTCAGTAAGGTTTTTCGTTGATTTGACGAGTTCAAATATACGAATAGTCATAAAACATGATTCTTTGTCTATGTTTCCAGGTAGACGTGAAATTGACTGAAGTACAATTGTTTAAATACTATTGAGAATAAACTACGGTGATATCGAATAGTGGTGTTCTTTTGTTCGAAGCATTTCTGTCCTCAAAACAAGCCTAGTTTAATTAGATTAAAGCATTGTAGGGATTGCAGGTCTGCTAGTTACAATGCTTAATTGAATGGACAAGACAATCATTTGACGACTAACAATCGATACCAACACTGTTCTCATTAAGGTCAGGTTCATCCATCAAAGATGATATGTCTAATCCTTCTTCAATAATCATTTTTTTTATTTTTTTCACAGGCTATGTAAGTGCACCTCTCGTACACCCAAATCTTCGTAGATAGCTGAATTCAAAAAACAAAACCTGTTGATGTTATATGGGAGCATGGCTAATAGAAGGATGCATTAAATAACGAAAATCCAGTTACGTGTGTAATATCAATGTTTCATTCATTTTTCAAATCAATGCCGGAACACTGAAAGAACTCTTTTCTTAAGTTGAATCAGTCATATCTCGATCTCATCTTCCATTTACTGCTGATAGTATAAGTTATTATATTGAATATTTAATTTTCACCTTACTTCATTACAGCCATTATCCAAACATTCACATGACATACAATTTACATCATTATTAAACGGCCTATCAGAAAAAAATTATGCAAAGCTAACTACAGTCAAATTACATGTATTACTAACAAAATCAATAAAACAACAAGTGTTTGAATCATCTAAACGAAGAACGTGAAAAAAGGCTTCTTCTACCTTTCATGAATAATGCTCTTTTTTTCGAGAAGAAAAAATACAGGTAATCAACCAGATGTAACCGATAGTATGTCTACTAAGGTTTAAACAGAAATAAGCATAAACAACCGAAGTACGTCAATTAATCATTACCGCCTAGGCAGACTAATAGCAACGCTACGTTTCGTAGATGGGAAGAATACAACAAGGTATATACAGGTGTACATAAGATAAAACTGACAGTAATATAGATATATGAAGATTTTATTTCAATAAATAGTCTATCGCAAAACCTTTTTGTAATTTCTATCTGTGTATTTCGCATAACATTTACAGATATTGAACCTTATAGTGATTTTGATGGTATTCCATCAAATCAAGCTTTAAAAAAACAAAATGCTCAAAGTGGTTTTTCTTATCAAGGATCATTTCATTTTCAACGTTGTTCTCTATTATGGTTAACATGTCGAAATTAAGGTATATTTATATAAGCAAAAAAAATAAAAATAAATATTTCTTTTCCTTGTTCTTAGAATTGGAAAGATGTATAAATGATAGAATAAAATCTATGTTTGACCGTCGTCTTATTGATCAATTAGATATATCTCATGAGAAATATAATCGAACATGTAAACAATTAGAAAAATCCTATAATTATACTTGTCGAATATATCAAGCAATTAGTTTTAAAGAATTTTATGATTATTTACTTTTATCAGATATTGAACGATCAAGTGAATATGGTGAACAAGTATTTGCTCGTGGCAGGTATGCATGATTCAAACTTTCATTGTTTTTTAAATATTTATCTAGTGTTGAATATGCAAAATTAAAAAAAGAATTGTTTTTCCTTTTTTTATATCGTGAGATAGAGCTGAATAGATTGATCAAGAATATATGAGTTTTCAGTTTTCTAAAAGCTAGTTTTTCCAGAAAAAATTCATTTTTCTTCGATGATTTAGTTTTTCTCAAAATGGGACCACTTTTCAACAATCAACAACTTGTCAAATTTTCGTTGTTTCCTTCAAATCTCAGAGCTGTTTGTTTGATATATTCACTGTGAAAAATAGAAAGAAAGAAAATCATTAATAAATAACTTCCATACATTCCATTTTTCACATTCAATCTCAAATATACACTTTTGAGATTTCAAGGAAGTAGAAAAGTTTAGACAAGTTGTTAATTATTGAGAAATACTCACTTTTTCAGAAAAACTATACCATTGGATAATTATGAAGTTTTTTCTCTTAGCAACTAATGTCCAAAAACTAAAAACATATACATTTCAGATCAAGTCATCATATTTTGTCTCTCTATATATAAAAAAAACAAGAAAAAAAAATTCTTCTTCACTTGTGCATCTCATCATCTTTGAGAAGCTCCCAAAATAATTTGATCCACTTTATTTAAAATTATTTCTCGACTGTTATAAATGCTAATAGAAATTCAAATACTTATTTTATACAATAAACTTTATTCAATTTAATTTTATGTGTCGAAGAACAATCTCCTAATGTTTATAAACTTGATACAGCTAATTTATCATTGGGACATGAAAATATTGAACAACTAACTGAAGCTATTATTGATACTTTTCTAAAAGTAAATATTTAAATTCACATATTTAAAATGATATATATTTGTTAAAAAGAATAAATTTCATCTGATACTCTTCCAAAAACACCAATAGATGAACCTGTTTATGAACAAAATACATGTTTAGGATGTCAACGTGTATTTCATATGAAATCACAATAGCTAGGTAAATGCTTCATTTTATTTTTGTTATACATTTTTTGCATCTTTTCTCTTTTTTTCATATAGATCATTTAAAAAGCAAACAACATAAACAAATAGTTCGTGCAATTGATCGAGCTGCATAACATGAAAAATTGAATAATGCTATACCATGATTTTTTCAAACACTTGATTTATTACAAACGAAAAAAAACAAATTCAGAAATAAGAAAAGAGAGTGATAAATTTGACATAGATGAAACGATAGAACCTTTAAAAAACAATAATTGTTTGATATTTGTTATTGTTTACTGTTTGCTTTTGTTTCTAGATAGAATACATACATATATATTATTTTATTGTGACAACAAAAAAAATAATTATTTCACATGATGAACAAGCAAAGCAATCCTGACGAAGTAAGCTAATAAAAGAAATACACATAAGTCAGACTAAATATTAATGCAACTAATGTTTTGCCATGCTTTTTTTACTCCTCAATTTTGTTATTTGGACGATTTATTTTTCAGAGACGTCTCTATGAATATACATTAAATGCTGTTTGTTCTCCGTTACATGTGTTTGAACGAGGAACAACAACTAATGAACTTGCTGCACATGTTGCTAAAGTATATAGATTCAAAATAAAGATTAAATGAGACGAAACATTTTCCTCTATGTTTTAATAGCTTTTTAATGTTGATCCAGAAGAACATGAAGAACAATATATTCAAGCTATTAAGATGGATGTAAGCTTATTTTTTCGTTGCTTTTGTTTTTCGAAAACAAATAATCTTTTTTTTTCTATTTAATATGTAGTCATGGTCTGTTAGTCTATCTGTTGATGTTAAAAGAGCACGTAATTTACCTGGTGAAGATCAAAATGGTTTGTTTCTCTTTTCTTTTTTTTTTTACATATTTTCCATCTTTTTTATACTTTTTCTTTGAAAAGGTCTTCGTGATCTTTATTGTGAAGTGAGTGTTATACATATTCCTAGCACTGAAGATGATTCAAGTAAGTAAACATTATCATCATCGTATATCTCCTTCAAGATCATCTAGTAATTGTTCGGAAAGTACTTGATCATTTGAAGAAGCGACGAGAAAGGATGGGAAGCGTTACAGTCCTTATACTTTCGCTAATTACCCCAAGGAAGAGAGAAAAAGGTTATATGAATGATCATGTAATCAATACTAATTAGTTTGAAGGGTTTTTTTTAAATAAAAATCTACTATTTACATCAAAAAGTTTCAATATCTAGCCACTTAAATCTAAGTTCTATTCCAAGAATTCTTTTTCTATATAAGCTTTTCTAGAACATACCTAAAAGCTAAGTTCCTTGGAACGTCATAAACTACAACTAAAACATTTCTTTTGCTTTCTAAGTTCTATAAGATATGATAAGAGAATCATCATTTTAATCATCACAACAAATTATACATAGAGAAGAATGTGAGAAAACGAAGAAAAAAACCAACAAGTTTTATTTGCTTAGACACGTGTCACACTCTTAGCATATCCTAGTTAAATCATTGTTGTCTATACTTCTATAGAGATGTCACAGATATTAGAGATATTAGAGGTATGAAGCTATGAAATATAAAAATAATAACCCAACCCTTTCAAGAAATTCATCAAATCAGATAATTTGAAGATTTTTTGTAGACGCATGGATGTCTTTAGGTTACAAGCTTTATTTGTCAGAATAGACATCGCTCCAGATTATGCGATTAGGGAGACGAATGCCAAGTATCACTTATAATGAAAAAGTAGAGATCACGTGGTTAGTATGGCCAAAAAGATCGATTACATGATTACTCAACAGTCTCTAAATCGCTTCAGACGAGGTGCATCATGTATTTTGATGAGGAAACCTCCTAGTCAATGCATTACTGCTTACATGATGCTTATGCCATCAGAGAGGACCTATTGACATTCGGAAAAACCCAACATGATTTATGTTCATGAATCGTTCTTGTTGAGCTATAATTATTTTACCTATTTTTTCAACAAAATGCCATGGTCCCATTCAAGTCATCTTCAAAATCAACTTTTGAGCTTCGATTTCAAACTTTGCACAAATAATGTTCTCATCATGACTAATAAATTGTGAATGTGTCACATTTTCTAGTGTCTCCTATCATAAAATACGAATACAATAGTTTGCTCTTTCGCATGACAGTATTTTACATATTCGTATCGTGGAATAGGAAATATCAGAAAATTTGAAACTTTCATCATCAATTAGTCATATAGAGAATTTCATTTCCAAAAAAATTGAACTTTGTACAAGACCATGAATCCCTTAAGAAGCAAACTCTGTAGGTCAAAGAAGATGAATGCAAGATCAGACTATTGTTTATTGTGAAAAATTACATTCTGTATATATAAATGAACCTGATGACAATGTCCATTATGATCAACAAGATAGAAAAACTAGAACAAGGGTGATAAGAGTGAAAGAAAAGATTCAGATGACAAACAAAAGATGGATGGAAATATCTTTTATGTGATAACAATTAGAATAGGATGAGGAAAATCCATATGAGAAGAAAGAAGAGTAAGCGCGCTATGGAAGAAATATATACTGCAATAGAAACATCACGGAGTACAACTTACAATGAAACTCTTTATATTGTCCATTGAGAATATTGATCATGTTCTTGTCAAATTATCATTCTCACTGCCAAACTAACAGATTTAAAACATTACATGCCCATAACAAGTCGAGACTGAAATATTCAATTTTGAAAATATACACAGTTTTGGCTTGTAAGCATACTAATATGAAAACTATTCATATCCAATGTTATACATAATCCTCGAGTTTTTGAAGTGACTCTTTTTAGAATCTTGTTGAAAACTATCGATCACATTAGGATTACTTTAGATTTAGCTCCTTCTGGGAGTTTATCAATATCAACGTAGCACAAATATCGCCAGTTTCAGTTGAAAACTCATATTTGTCAGCACTTTCGACTTCATTTATATGAAAACCATAGATTTCCTACAACTAGCGATGAACATGTTCAATTAAATGACAAAAATAAAGACTTTTTTGTAGCAAGCACACGTTTAGAGGACTCACTCTTAACAGCTATTAGCGAAACACTAAAAGTTATTAAATTCAAACCAAACATCTTTGAGTTTGTCATTCTTACCAATTGTTTCGTTTATCAAAGTATCTTTTCCAAGCTTAGTACGGGTAAACTTCCAGAAGAAGCTGAAACTAATGTAATCATAATATGATCGATAATTTTCAACAAGACTCTAAAAAAAGTATTATCTCAAATACCCAATAGCTATGTACAAGATAGGATATGAAGAGTTTTCATATTACTATGCTAACAAACCAAAACTGTGTACATATTAAAAATTGAATATCCTGGTGTTAGTTTGGCAATGAGTGTTAATTTAATCTGAACATAGTCGATCTTCTTGATGCACCGTACAAAAACATTTCATTGTTAGTCGATTATTGACAAACTCGAAACTCGACAGTCTTTTTTAAAAATTATCTGAAGGCAAACATGGCACTTTATTAAAAACCTCAGTGAAACTATCATAATTCAAGAAGAAAGACCCATGGATACCAATCATTTTACATTCTTTCGAGTGTCAATAGGTTCTACCTAATGACCTAAGATTCATATAAAAAGTGATTTATTACATAGCGATGTGCTCTCAGAACTCACAAAAGTTTTTCATCGAAAATAATATTCATATTTTTTTTTTCTTTTTCTAGTTACAAAACATCAAGTACAGTCATTAGTGACTAATTATAGCCAACGCAGTTGGTTAATGAGTAGTCGACGAAATGCAAAAGATAGTTCAACAACAGTATCATTGAACAATGACAAAACATTGAAAACTATCACTTATTGTACAGAAGTTCAACCACAAACTACTAATCCAGAATGGAATGAACATTTTGACCTGTATGCTATCTATATTGATTTACAATTCTATTTTATTTTGTCTAATGTTATTGTTTTTTTTCTTGTTTTCATCATTGATCATCTGTAAGATAATATTTGTACTGTTTTAATCTTTTTAGTCAGATAAAAAATCTACAAGAACAACATTTATTTATAAAGGTATTGAATTCCGATCATGTTCAAGCATCAGGACTCAAAACAGGTGTTGCACGGTAAACCTTGTTTTCCGCTTGAAATATATTTCATCTCTGTTTATGTATTTAGCACTCTTCTAGGAAGTCAAAGTCGCATAAGAACAGCTGAAACCGAAAATGACTTACTCGGTCAAGTTAGTTTTGATATTAAAGTAATTCAAATTTTGTTTCTTTTTTCATGTAAGCGCTACTAAATGAAGAGTAGTGTCATCAATGTTAAGCGACAGAACAAAGATAAAGATGCTCTTCACAGAGTTCGAAACACACATTTTCTGCTATCCTTGGAGATATTCTAAGCCAATTAGCACAGAAAGAAAACCTTAGTCGTCGTCTAGCGCAGAAGTGTATCATCACGGATGCTAACATTACATTTGTTCCAATTGAAGACTCTTTTTCATTTATAGTCATTAGCTACATTTGATTGTGAACAATGGTTTCCTCTAACTGTATCAAAGCAAAATCATTCAAATAACAATGAATCACGGGGTGAAATTCTACTTCGATTGAAAGTTAAATATAAATTGGTGAGTCAAAAGATCAATCTAATGCTTTTTTTTCCTGTAAAACGATCTTCAACAAAATCAAATTAATCGGCTTATTCACTCTTCATATCCTCATTCTCGTTCTGTTTCAAAGGCAATTATGATTTCCCAGAGATACTTCTGCATGATTTTTAAATAAACAAACGATAATCTATGTGTTCTTTTTATTTTAGTTGTGAAATAAATATTATTTATCTTATCTGTTTTTGTTTCAAGGATGATAAAAATAGAAAAAGTGATCAACATGAATCAAATACTACTCTATCAGAATGTCCTCGTCGTCACTCATCATCATCATTATCTCCTGATCCAATTAATTCATCGACTACAGTTCGTCCAATCCTTTTTGGAAGAAGTTCTCTTCTATCAGCAATGCAAGCCCTTGAAAATGCAAAATCGCCTTGTAAGTATATATAGATGCGCTATGTTAGGCTAAATGAGACATATCAGCCTTTCACTTTACTTTGAATCTTTACAACAAGAGTTATTTTTCTGTACAAGTTCGCTTTGGATAGACATAAGCAAAAGTGTTTGCTTTTTCAGTTCAATCGTACGGCCCTCCTCAAAAGTCGATCACACCAAAATAGCATTCCAATGGAATGAAGTTTTCAGAACATGTTGGAGCTATAGTGCGAAATCTATGATAAAATTTTTAGCCTTATACCATAACGTTTGAGGGAAATATTAGCAAAAGATATGTCAAAATAGCTCATTTGGCAAACAAAAAATTTCTTTATCAAGGCTCATTCTATATATGTTACATTTTTGTCTGAAAGAGCATGTCACGATGCAGGGCCTATCAAAGCCTTCTTTTTTTAAATTCTTACATCTTAAATTGAAAAAATGAGTCAGAAGTTCATTCAGTCAAAACAATCTCAAAAACGACTTTCTATACTAAGTAACAATTTCTGTTGTCTATGAGAGATTGGATCACTGGCTATCTTTTACTGCATTTGTCTTAATTTCGATCATTCTGACAAAAAGTGTCATTCTTTGAAGGTTGCTATCAAGTAACAAGTTATTAGCTAATAGCCCTCTTACCATATGAAAGAAAAATCATAAATGTTGAGCATAGACATGAACATACGAATCGCATCTATAGTGAAACTTTTAACAAGATTGAATTCCTAAAAGCTTTCTTCTTAAAAGTCAGTATTCTACAGATATTCTCATATCTCAAAACAATAGTATTTGCTATGCAACGATCTAGAGATTCTAAAAAACGATTTGTACTATTTAGAATGAGTGATGAACTTCTCATTCAGTTATTCGAGCACTTTTTTCATTTCTACATTCATATTCCTTCAGGTTGCTTAGGAAAAGTAAATCGAGCTTTCTTCAAAACCTAGATATGCTCAGCAAACATTTACGATAAAGATCTTCTTATATGTGAGTTCAAAGTCGTCGTTCTTCTTTCTGTCATGTCATTAAAGATAGGTTTTTCTATAAATTACTCCTCGGAAAAGTAGTCTTTAGCGCTGATTTGTTTCAGGGTATCTAGAGTAACTTCACATACATATAACACAAAAAAATTAGCTAGAGGAAAGTTCATTATTCAGCGATACAAATGTTTCCATTTTTGTGAAGATGTACAGCTATAAACAATTTTGTCGCTGTTCTACTACTAAAAAATATGTAAGTTGAATCTCCATAGCATCTACATATGAAACTTGACATATTTGCTGTTGCTAATCACAAGGTCAATAAGTTTATTCTATCTATTTTTTAATGCATCTCTTCGCCATCTTTTGATTTAGTTCTCAAGAAATGTAATAACGAAGTAGTTAACATGTCATAGCAAGACTTTATTGATATATCACCTCCGATCATGTATAATAGATATTTCACGTATTTTACGACGGTGGAATTTGTTGCTACCGAGTCTATCATGATCTCTCGAAAGAGAAGCAGCCACACTTCCACTATATGGGAAAGTCAGAAAATATTTCTAGGAACAATCCACTTTGATGTGAAGTGGAAGAAAAGATAGTTTTTTTTTACCTATAATATAAGATCTTCCCATTTCTAGAGAACGCTCAAAGCTTTTTTTGATAAGGCTGAGCTTTCTTCAGCCATCTCCTGATTTCACCATTACTTTTACTCCTATATTTCAACGCTCCTTTCAAATCATGTATCATAAAATTGTGAATATGAAATACTTCTTTTTTTTCTATTTTGAGATGTTGAAGCTAAGCTTCAAAGAAACTTAAGTCAAAGTGTTTCATGTTTAACATCAGCTGCTGATTCAGATTTTCCATCATTAGTTGAAGAATATCATCAACTAACTCGTATTGTTATGCGGCATGAATGCGAAAAGGCAAAAGAAGCAGTAAGTGATTTTTATAAATTATAAAGTTAAGAATAAGAAAGAATTCATTTTTGTCTAGAATAGAAACAATGAATCAAATGGTGTAGTTATTAATTGGAATGGATTATTACGTGATTTATCTTATAGTGTTCTGACACAATTTCGTGTTTTATACAATATTTCAGTTCTATCAAAAACATTTATGTAAGTATTGAATAATAAAGAAGTCAAATTAATGATATTATCTTTGTAAATCAATAGACACTTACTTGCTGTTATGGAACTTCGATGTTCCGATGACGATTCATTGCTTATAAGTCAAAGTGTTATTCAAAAGTTTTTGAAAAGACTTATGGAACAAGTACGATTAAGACCTGATATTGATAACCTGGATTTTACTGATTATGAAGTAAAATTGATATAATTGTTTTGTTGTTGTTGCTTAAAGTCAAAAACTCTTGTGCTTCATTTTAGAAAACAGTATTTGAAGGAATTTTTTCTTTATTTATTGGTCACTATAAAAAACGTGTACATGATGATGCATCATGGTTTTTACCATCGAGAGAAAACTTATCAAGTATTCAAAATATATTCGAGTATGTGTCTATTAGATTTCAATGAAGCGCGATAACATCGAATCAATCTTATTATGTAGAAAACAAAAACTACAAAAATGATCAACATATAGAGTTTGTTTCCAAGAGAAGAAAAATTTCTACGATTTTATAAAACAAGAAAAAGGAAAATCTTCCATAAATATTTCGTTTATCAAGAAAAGAATATTTATACATAGTTAATGTTCAAATAGTCTAGTATTATCCTAATCGATTACAATTATCAATTTATTTTGATTAGAGATTGTATACTTCACTAATAAATCGAAATATCATGTTTTGCTCAAATATTTTTCTTGATAATAAATAGTAAGTATTCCTAGTTGATATATTTGCTGAAAAATTATAAGTCAATAGAATATTCAAATACTAAGTTTGTTTATATCTAACAAATATTTTCTTTTTGTATATCAAATTATGTTTTAAAAAGATAAATTTGTCTATTTTTATCAAGTATGAGAAATTTCAAGAAAATTCTTTTTCATAGAACAATAATTATATTTGAATTGTATAGATCTAAAAGAGAATATAGGTCTTATTTTTCTATAATATGACTCTTTTTCTAATAACTAATGAAATAGATGATTTGTAAATAGATTAAACATATTAACTATTTCAATAATGAAATGTTTTTAGAGTAATTGATACTTTATTACAACTAAAAATCTCTTCAAATCAAGCAATAATAAAAACAATTCAAGAAACAATCAAAACTCGTTTACATACAGATATTAATGATTTATTCAGTGTTCATCAATTCGTATTTCAGGATATGAATGGTATACAATTCAATGTTGTTCAAAATTTTCTAGAATTTGTTACAAAATTAACTAGATCAACGTTAATTATAAAAGAATATCAGAAACTCTTTGCATCCTTCGATATAAATTATGTAGAAGCATGTTTTCTTGAACCCGAAAGTGCCGATGATCGTGTAAGATATTCTATAATATTGTCCATAGAATAAATCTATTTTACATTTATTAGTTAACTGAAATAACAAGATGTCTATTACAAAATATGACGCAAAATTTTTTGACATGTGCAACACCAATGGTTGAAGAAACATCATCAATATATGATCCAAATTTAATTCAAAGTTCAACTGTACTTTTAAATTTGTATGTATATTTACAAACAATCATCAGAGCACTTCGAGATACTTTTGAAAAACGGTAGACTTGGTTTGCTTTTTATTTGCTTATTTGATTGTATGTTTTTTTTCTGTTGAAATAGAGATTGGCATACACATGAATTTAGATTGAAATTAACTAGATATAATCAATGGTTTTCACCAATAATGCCACTTTTAATAGAAGGTGTTGTTGCACAGATTAGACAAATAATGCAAAGAGTAGTAGAAGATGATAACGTAAGAACAAGTTACAATTAGTTTATATGAAAAGAAAAGTAAAGAGCGATTGTTTTTCAGGTTTTTCCTGATGAAGACGTTATTCGATCATCTATAGTAGCTACAAAGTCCTGTATAAGGGTATATTTTTCATCTGTTCTGTTATATTTGTATCAATTCAATTGATTTAGATTTGTCAAGAATGGGAATCAGTTGATTATCCTGATATAAATATACGTTATGCAGCACTAATTAAACTAACAAATACAATATGTGAACAATGTCGACAGTATGCAAGAAATTTAGCACATAAATTATCAGAAAATGAATCTTTTATTGATTTATATCGTACACGATCATATAATGTTGCAGAAAAAGTTCGTCGAAAAAGAACTTTATTTTCTTGTTTTTAGTTTTTAATTTATTTTCTTATTAATTTTAGTTTTGTGTAGTAGTTAATGATATTGACTATGTTAAACAAAAACTTCTTTCATCATTACCAAATTTATTGCATTTCTCGTCTGTTATTGATAAAATGATTGAGAGCTATGAATTAACGGATTTTCAACAAACAAAAGTAACACTTGAACGTTTAATAGCAACAGCTGAAAATGAAATGAATAATGTCATTGAACTTATATTTGATCATGTTGATACATTATTCTGTGCATCTTTAAAAGATAAAGTTTCCAAATACTATGAAGATGAAAAAAACGAAAACGTTGATGTAAGAAAACAAATAAATCAACAAATATTTATTTTTTTCGAATATAACTTTTAGCCTATGAAAGATATAAATCAATATATCGACCATGAAATTGTTGCTAAATTAGATAAAAGTCTTAAAGTAACTCAATGTTCTCGTGTTGCTTGTGCCATACATATAAAAGCATTACAATGTTTAAGAGAATTATTGCCATTACAAGAACCGCCTGACTTTTATGAGCGTGTTTTACGAACATTCAATCATTTGACTAAATACTTTGAAACTAAATACCGTGAAGAGCAGCATATACATAGTTCATCACGTGAAGAGATTACAACATTCCGACGCACACTTGAACAATTTGCATCATCAACTGAACAACTACAACTACGTTATTTTCAAGATATAGCTGGAAAAGATTCCCCTGTAAATATGCTTTGAAAATTTTGTTGAAATTTTATTGAGGGGCCGCAGAATTCTCGCCAACCAGAATTCAGAATTTAAAAGTCCGATCGGTAAACAGTGGATTAGCTCAGTAAGATAAATTCTCACTAGTGAATAAACTACTAAGCATCCAACTCTAACCTGTCAACCCATCGAACAACAGATTTCTGCTAAGAATTGAAAAATTACACCAGAATTTTGACAGAATTCTATTCCTAATAGCATAAGGTAAACAAGATTCGCAAAGGTCAACACACACTCCTAGCCACTGTCGAATTCTAGTGAAGAATGTAAAAATAGCAGCAGAATTTAAATAGAACTCTGTTACAACCAACAGAATAGAAACTCTCAATCGGCATACGAAAATCGTATATCTTCAATAGGAAAAGAAATTCTAGTGAAGAATTAAAAGTATCAGCAGAATTTAAACAGAATTTTGTTAGAATTAACTGAATACAAGCTTTCAATAGGCATACTAGAATGGTATATCTCGAATAGGAAAGAAAAATTCTAGTGAAGAATTTAAAAATATCAGCAGAATATAAATAGAATTCAGTTACGAGTAAGAGAAGACAAACTTTGAGTATGCATACTAGAAGTGTATATCTCTAAGACGAAAGAAAAATTCTAATGATGAATTGAAAAAAATGAGCAGCACTTAAACAGAATTCTTTTAGGAGTAAGAGAAGATAAGCTTCGAATATGCATACTACAGGCGTATATGGTTCACAAAAAGAAAAATTCTAATGAAGAATTCTAACACAGCAGACCAGAATTTTAAAATCTAATGAACACCAACGCATATATACGTTATCTCTGATAACATAGAATTCCACAGGATTCAAACAGACCAGAACAGAATACGTTGTTTTTGATAACATAGAGTTCTACAGTATTCTACAGATTTTTAAGCAGAATTGAATACGTTGTGTTATATGACAGAATTCTACCGAATTCTAGGCAGAATATAAACAGATCAGAAAAGAATTGTACTATCCTTTGATTGCCAGCTCGTGTAAAGTTTGTCTTGTGGAACATAGAATTCTATTGAGGAATAAGAAGATAAAAACAGAATTCTAGTATGTGATAGTCAACTTGTTTTATAAAAAATACATAAGTTCACAGAATTCTGAATTCTGCTTGGTAAGCATTCTGCAACTGCCGACATCCTCTTTTATGTTTCTTTATTTTGAAGTTTCGATGCTTACCAAATAATGGTGTAATTTTTTTTCGTGCTGCATATGAAATCGTCAATGATCTTATATCTATTCATGTTCTAAGTATGTTGGTTTGTTTCATTTTTAAAATCAATCAATATACACCTATATGTTTTCTCTATACAGTTCTTTCTTGTCGAGATTTACCGAAAATGGATTATTTTGGTACAGCTGATCCATATGTTATCCTTGAACTATTACCATCGACACTTTATCCAGAACGTCCAGAAGAAAATAAAACAAGTACAATGAGACGAACACGTGATCCAGAATTTAATCAGTTATTTAAATGGTAGAGTTGCTTTTTTAGCTGAATAATTTTTCATTGGCAACGAAATTTTTTCTCTTTGTTTTTTTTCTCTAAAGGTATCGTCTTCCAATGCATATTATACGTACACCAGGTGCTGTTTTGCGTCTTAGTGTTTGGGATAGAGATCTGGTAACAGAGGATGATTTTATTGGTGAATGTTTTATACCATTAATTAGTATTGAATCATTAGAAAATCATGTATCAATACGTGACATTCCTGTATCAGAAGTACGTTTGAGAAGACAAAATAAAAATGCTCAACCAAGAGTATATGAAGTAAGATTTTATTGTTTTTGTATTGATTTCTTTTATATTTACTGTGCTTGTTTTAGTTAATTCGAAATCGTGCAAAAATTGATCGAGA